CTGGGAGGGGAGTGGGGGCTAGTGGTTAGAGCAGGGGTGGCTGGGAGCCAGGACTCCTGGGTTCTCTCCCTGGCTCTGGGAGGGGAGTGGGGGCTAGTGGTTAGAGCAGGGGTGGCTGGGAGCCAGGACTCCTGGGTTCTCTCCCTGGCTCTGGGAGGGGAGTGGGGGCTAGTGGTTAGAGCAGGGGGGGCCTGGGGGCCAGGACTCTTGGGTTCTCTCCCTGGCACTGGGAGTGGAGTGGGGGCTAGTGGTTAGAGCAGAGAGCCCAAGCTCCAGGGTCTCTCCACATGTCTAGCAGTAGCAGCCAGCAGCTTGCTCAGCCCTGGTTGGGGCACTGCCTGGGGGAAGCTCACAGCCCCGGGCTCTCTCCCCGCAGGCCTGAAGGAGAGCCCCATTATGAGCCTGGCCGAGAGCGAGCTGGTGGCCTCCATTGTGGACGAGGTGCGACGGCAGCTTGGGGTGACCTTCACCGCGGACCAGCAGAGCTGAGCGGGCGTCTGCCAGGGGACCCGCCCCGGCATCAACGCAGAGGCTGCAATAAACAGGACCCTGCCCAGCTGCCGTGTGACTCCTTGTGGGACAGAGCTGGGGGGTGGGTGGGCGCAGGACGCCTGGGTTCTTCCCCAGAAAACAAACCCTGAGAGCCCTCTCCACAGCACCATCCAAGCAATCCCCCCACCAATTGGGGGGAGCCCCCAGCTGAGATTAGGCCACCCTCTTTTGGGCAAACACCCCCCCGCCCACTGCCTTCAGAGCAAGGTACAGCCCCCTGCCCCTTGTGGGTGGAGCTACTCCCAGAGGAAAGGGGGGGGAGAGAGACACCCTCTAATTTCAGGCTGTTGTCATACCTGCACCCCGCCAGCAGGGGCAATGCTCCCCCCCCCCCCACACACACAGCCTCCTTCTTAAGTCGATTCTTAGAAGCCTGCGGCTGAGACTTGGGGGCATGAGGGTCCCTGAGGGACTCCCCCTCTCCGTACCCGGGGCCCCACCTAAATCCCAATAGCCCTAGGCTGGGGGCGGAGCAGGGCAGAGGCACTACCGCAAACGGGGGGTGGGGGGGGGGAGAAGAGGGAGAAACCTGCCTCTATCCCCTAGCCTAGCTCTGGGGTCACCGAATCCAGGCCAGGCTCAGGGGCTGGGGGACGCAGCGATTGAAAGGGGGCGGCCTGGTGGACAATCGGCCGCTCCTGAGCCTTCCCCCCTATCCCCCCCCAGCCGAAGGGCTAACAGACTTGGCCAGTCGGAGCAGAGGGGTTGTGGGAGCTCTGGGCCTGGCCCCGGGGCGATGCTGTGGGACTTCCCCCCCCCCCCAGCCAGTGTTCGCTGCTCAAGGGGGTGGATAAATCGTAGAGGGGCCACGGAAGAGCCCTGAGGACGATTCGAGGATCAGAAAAGTTGCCCGAGCACGAGGTGCACGAGCTGTGCAGCTAAGCCTGGAGATGCAGATGGGGGGCGGGGGGGACTTGATCTCCTCTTGGCGGTTTGATAACAGGGTTCCCGCACTGCTTTTCCCTCCCCGGGGTGGGGGCCATAGACTAGGCCTGAGATTTCCACAGGGGGGCCAGCCCTGCCTTTGAAATCTTTTAGGGATCCACCCATGAAAAAAGGGCCAAAACCCCTGGCTACCAGATCCCCCAAGCAAGGCGAGAGAAATTCACAGTGGAAACAAAGCATGGGGGGGGAGGGGAATTAACCCTTGGAGCTGCTCCCCCAGGGGTGGGATGGAATCTCCGTCCCAGGCAAACAGAACTGCCGGCAGATCTGACCTCCTGGGGCTGCCAAGGGGCCGAGACTCCCCTTCCCCCGTGAGGATTTACGAAGAGAAGCGGCCCAGAGCCACTGGATTAGCAGCCGCGTCCTTAGCACGCTGCTGGCGAGAGGTGGGGAACCACAGGCCCCCGAGGGGTTCGGCTGCGGTTTGGAGGGGTGCCAGGGAGCCCCGCAAAGAGCTCAGCGCGTTTCTCCTCGGGGGAAGTGGCCAGCGCAGTGGAGTGAAGGCCCCACAGGGGAGAGGGCCTTGAAGACGCCCGCGCAGCGTTCTAAAACCCAGTGACCCGGGCTGCTGCGGGACGGGGTGGGCGACGGGAATTCGGGCAGCCCTCGGTGAAATGCCCCCCAGACGCGGCCCCCACGCAAAACAGAGCAACTGACAAAAGCGGAGAGGGGAGCTGGGTAACGATAGAAGGGGAGAAAACACCGGCACCGAAAGGGTCAGCAAGTGGAAGCCAGAGCCAGGCCCGAATTTTTAACAGTGCCGGGGAGCCACTGTCGGCTCCTGCGCGGCGGATTTTCCGGCTCCCGTCCCGGGTCAGTTCTCTGCCATGTGCCACACAGGACAGGAGCTGAGGGGATTTCATTGGCCCGGCCGGCCTGGCCAAGCCCCGGAGGCCCAGGCCCGGTAGCCGGAGCTGGGCCCTGTGAGAGACGCACAGAGGGGCCGGGTGGAAGTGGAGGGGCTGGTTTTATTGAGGTTCAAGGCTCAGACCAAGATCCCGTACTGCTTCAGCACGTCGGTGTACCTCGCGATCTTGCCTTCCACGTTCTTCTCCGCCTGCTTCTGCAGTTTCTGGAAGAGATGCCCCGGGAGGAGGAATCAGACCAAGATTCGGGGGAGCCCCCAGGAAATGAGCCCATCCCCCTGCGGGGGGGGGGGGGATACGGGGACCCGGCGCTGGAATGCGGCACCTCTGGGGTGGGGGCATTGGGGCTGGCTACATGGGGACCCCCCTCCCCCAGTGCTTAGATGCAGCTCCTCTCAAAGGGGGACTGTGAGGCCCGATGACCCCCAGGGACACTCACCATCAGCTTCTTCTTCTTGTTGTAATGCAGCTTGGCCTTCTCCTTGCGTTTCTCCTCCAGGGTCGAGGTGATGGCTTGGTACTTCCAGCCAACCTCATGGGCCAGGCGCCCCAGGAAGGCGAACTGCAGGGGGCAGGGAAGAGACGGGTCAGGAGAGAACCCAGGAGTCCTGACTCCCAGCCCCCGCACCCTGCTCTAACCCACCAGCCCCCTTCCTGCAGGATCCCAACTAAGCCAGGTCGTGCAGTGCCCCCAGGTGGTCTCAGATGGTAGTGCATGTAGGATGTTGTCTCATGGTCGTGAGACTCGAAGAGAAGTGAGTTAGCATCATCACCGACCGCCCGAGGTGCCAGCTCCCAGCACAGGTGCTGGCTAGGCCTGGCCAGGGCACCACTAGACAGATGACACCTGCATGAACAAGGCTGTTCCATGACTGGCCGCTAGCTGCCACGTGATATCAAAGACCAAGGAATCATGTGGCAAGTAGTCCCATAGGTTAACACCACACCGATTACATCTGGTGAATGGCTGGCCTCCAATATTATGTGGCCACCAGTTCCCCAAGTTAATACCATTGGCAAATGAATTTATTGCCTTGGCGTTTGCTCTGGTATCATGTGGGAAGTAGTCCCATGGGTTAATGACTCCCCCTGAGTTTTGCCTTTGACAAGTCCTTTGTTCTGACAGGCAGTGGAACTACCTGCCTCATGACAGTGCTGCCTTCGATGAGGTTTCAACCATCCGCCCCTACTCCCGGGCGGAACGGGGGCTCTGGGAGGGACGTACCTTGCGCGTCGGCTTCAGACGTACGACCTTCAGAGCAGCGGGTACCACCATCCGTTTCCTCTGCGTGGGGGGAGAGGAGAGGGTTACGGGTACGAAGGAGACGGAGTGGAGGGCAGAGAGGCGGGTCTGGCGTGTCTCAGGGTCAACATTTTTCTCATCCAGCATCAAACAATGTAGGTAGATGGAACATCATGGACACGGGGCCCCAGCATCCCCCCCGCGGCCCCCGGGGGGCACCGTTACCTTGTCGTACGGGGGCGGAATCCCATCAAAGACCTTCAGTCTCTCCAGGGCGGCCTGGCCTCGCTTGGTCTTGTGGGGCAGCATCCCTGCAAGGAGAGGAGACCAGCTGCTGGGAGCGGGGCTGCGGCCATGACACACTGCGCTGTGGGTCTCTGTCCCCCAGGCTCCATAGGGGCGTGGCTGGGACACATTGCGCTGTGGGTCTCCATCCCCCCAGGCTCTATAGGGGCGTGGCTGGGACACACTGCACTGTGGGTCTCCATCCCCCCAGGCTCTATAGGGGCGTGGCTGGGACACACTGCACTGTGGGTATTCTCTGCCCACCCAGGGCCCATTGCGGATGGATGGATCATGGTGTGGCCCCGGTGCCCTGCGCTGTGGGTCTGTGCCCCCCAGGCTCCATAGGGGCGGGGCTGGGACACACTGCACTGTGGGTATTCTCTGCCCCCCAGGGCCCATAGCGGATGGATGGATCATGGTGCTGCCCAGGTGCCCTGTGCTGTGGGTCTCAGCGCCCCAGACTCCATGGGGCATGGCAGGGACACACTGCACTGTGGGTATTCTCTACCCCACAGGGGATGGATCATGGGTGTGCCCGGGCCCCTGTGCTGTGGTTGTTCCCCCCCGCCCCCTTGAAGCCCAGCCCAAGCGGGGGGGGGGGGGGAGTGGGTGTCGTTACCTCGGACTGTGCGCCAGAAGATGCGGCTGGGGGCGCGGAAGTGGTAGGGCCCACGGGACGGGTTGGTGTTCATGCGTTTGCGGAGGAAGGCAAGGTACTTCACTGGAACGAGAGCGGGGCAGGGTCAGCCATTCTCCCGGACGCCTGGGTCCCAAGCCCAGCTCTGCCACCGAGTTCGCGGGAGGACACCCCCTCCCTGGGCCTCGGTTTCCCCTCCCACCCTCGGGGAGGAGAGCTCGTGAGCCAGTCAGGACAGGGCCTATCTCTGCAGCGCTCGGTACCATAGGGAGGTCCTGCACCCCAAGTGCTGGAGGGGGGGTCTGTACAGCCCCCGACACTACCATAATACTGTGGGGCACTGCCCCCTTCCCGGGGACAGCTCTCTGCCTGCAACAGACAACATGGAGGAGGAGCTGGTGGTAGGCAGCCCAATACCCAAGCTGCAAGGGAAAAGGTGAATCAGAAAAGGACCCAGGAGTCCTGGCTCCCAGCCCCAGCGGAGGCACTCACGTTTGTTGCGGTAGAAGTTCCCGGAGATGTTGATGCCCTCACATCTCACCACCACCACCTTGCGCCCTGGGAGGAAGGCAGAGCAGGACGTTAACGAGGCCCCACGGCCATCGGGGAGCCCGGCACAGCGACTTGGGGGGTTCCAGGCTCTGTGGAGCTCCAGACGCGCTGCCGGGGGTCAGCGGCTGAGCTGGGGTCTTGCCACGCAAGCGATACAGAACTGAGCCCGTAGCCATGGACTCAGGCCGGGGGTAGGAGAGGCAGAGGAGACAGGAGCGTTTAATAGCAGGGTCAGGAGACCCACCCTTAGCAAACGGCATGGATCTAGAGAACCCAGGAGTCCTGGCTCCCAACCCCCGCTCTATCCTGCTAGACCCCACTCCCCTCTCAGAGCCAGGGAGAGAACCCAGGAGTCCTGCCTCCCCCCGCTGGACCCCGCTCCCCTCCCAAAGCCGGGGAGAGAACCCAGGCGTCCTGGCCCTTGGGGAGCAGTCTCAGATGGTAGTGCATGGATGGGGTGTTCTCACGGTCGTGAGACTCGAACACCGAGAGCATCATCACAGACCCCCTCCACCGGAGCAGGACCCAGGCGGGGGGAGGGGTTCCCAGGCTTGGGGGGCACACCCCCAGCAACACTCACCCAGCAGGACCTGCTTGGCCACCATGGCCGCAAGGCGCCCCAAAAGGTGGCCGCGTCCATCGATGACCAGAACCTGGGGGGGAAGGGGGAGAGGGGTGAGTGGGGGGGGAAGGTCATTGGTTTGGGGGGTCCCAGCTCCTGCCTCATAGGGTGACCAGGGGGTGCTTGTGCTGGGGAAGCACTAGCCAGCTCTGGGGTCCCACCACTTGGGGGGGCTGGCACCCTGCCCCCCAGCACCACTAGGATCCCACTGGGGGGCTCAACGTACCACTATAGGGGTCTCGCTTCCCACACAGAGGAGGTTCCACTTAAGCCCCCCCCCCCTTCTTTCTGCCCAACCCGATCTTCTCGTCCCAGCCCCATGGCCCCTCCCCCAATCCCCTCAACACCCCACATTTCAGCCCCCAGCTCAATCTTCTCTCCGCCCCATGGCCCTCACCCCCTGAGCTCCCCTGCCCCTCCTCCCACCCCATACACCCACCTGCCCCATGTCCCAACCCCGAGTTCCCCTTCCCCTCTTCCCACCCCATAGAGCCCCCATGGCCCTCCCCCACTGAGCTCCCCTGCCCCTCCTCCACCC